CACACAAGTTGTTATTAAAATAAGGAGTACCATTAATGCTGCCGAGAAATATTGATCCAACAGAGTTATGTAATGGTACACGACTTATTGTGAAGAAAATGTTATATTATTTAGTGGGAGTTCTTATTATAATTGGTCATGGGAAAGGGGAGACTGTACTGATTCCAAGAATTTCTTTGAGACCAACAGATATGACTTTTGATTTTAGACGATTGTAATTACCAGTCAGTGTAAGTTTTGTAATGAATATTAATAAATCACAAGGTCAATCAATAAAAGTTACTGGACTTCACTTTATGCAACATTGCTTTTCTCATAGTCAGTTAGATGCTGCCTCTTCAAGAATTGAAAATGAAAGGAATTTTTTCATGCTTGCTCCAAAAAAGAAAAAAAAATAGTAGTCTATCCTGCTGCATTACAGTAAGATTATTTAAGAAAAAAATATTTTGATTTCAGTTTTTTGACTATAATGTTTTTAATTCATGAAAATATATGTATTTTATTTCTATCAGTACCTGTTAAATGCTATTAAGTTTCACCATGTTTCATTTGTTTAAAATGACTAAAATTGTAATGTTTAGATATCTAAGTAAATAAAAATGATTTCTTTCATGTCTACAATCAATTTATGAATGAAATACTCATTTAAAAGTTTTGTTTCAAAGATTTCATGTAGTGAAGCCTGCTATTTATACATATAATAGTCTTTATTGAAGCAGTAACTCTGTCTTTCTTTGCCATTGCTGATTGCCTTTAATATTTTCAATGAGTTAAATAGACAAAAATAATCAGAAATGCATTTATTGTATACAAAGTAATAAAAAGTCCTCAACCTGACCTGCTCCTCAAAAATAATCTGAGCAAATCATAAAAAAACTTATATTTATTATTATTATTTTATTATCATTTTCTTTGATTTCTGGCGTTTACACATTTCTTTCCGGGTCCCGACCAGGGACCTAAGGTTAGAAATGGCGTCATGACACTTTCCACTGACAAAAAAAAAAAAAAAATACATAGATAAAGCCCTTCGTAAGGTGTGGGCTGTACTTGTCAGAACAATTTTTTGTATCTCCTTGAGGCATGGACTTTCAGGAATCCCTTCAATTAGTCTACTGAAATCTTTTCCAACCAGTCCTAGGGCTCCAACTACATCAGGGATTGTTGATGTTCCCATATGCCACATTTTCGAGATTTCTATTTCAATGTCCTTGTACTTTGACAAATTTGAATATCTTCAAAGATAGATTGCAGTCAGCATGGACTGCCATATCAATAAGGAGGCACCGTTTTTGATTGTGGTCTTTAATAACAATATCTGGCCGGTTGGCCATGATTGTTCTGCCAGTGTGTATTGTGTAATCCCATAGAATTGTAACAGGTCCTATCCCCGTAACCGGTTCTGGGTGGTGTTCATACCAGTTTCTTTCTGTTTTCTTCCCATAGAAGTTGCAGATTTTCCAGTGCAGATATTGGCCCACTCTGTCATGTCGGGTTTTATATTCAGTGGGTGCCAACAGCGTACAACCTGATACAAGATGATCAATCGTTTCTGGATATTTATCACAGAATCTGCATTTTGGGCTGACACAATATTTTAGTATATGTGCTTGATAATTCCTAGTTAGCAAGCTTTGGTCCTGCGCAGCAAGGATAAAACCTTCAGTTTCCGCTTTCAACCCTGCACTACGTAGCCACTGATGGGTACGGGTTTTGTCTACGTCAGCTTGTTTGGTACGGGCAGAGTATTGGCCATGAAGCGGTTTATCTTGCCATCGCTTCTGTAACTGGTCTGTTGCATTCGTCTTAGCTATCTTTTTTAGGTATTTTGCAGTTTCAGCCGGTGTATTGTGCTGTAGTTGCATCCCTACGCCCATTTGGAACTCCATTTTGAATTTGTTGGCTTCCTTCATTACGGAGTAGAGACGCTTACTACTTTCATGTTCCTTGACGCATACCATCATCCAGTCTTCTGTAGTTTCCAAATATCTTTGGAGGCCAATTGTTGTAGTTTTGTAGGACAGTTCTAGTTGAACTAATCTTCCGCATCCTTCGGATCTGGGCACATACAGACGGTCGACATCAGCTTTCTACATTCGTCTCAATAGAGTTTGAGTGATGGGTCATAGTATTTTGTCATATCTAATTTTATCTTATCTATTTCTGCCTTTGAGAGTCTGTTGTTTCGCATGATTTATTATTATTATTATTATTGATCAGATTGAGAACTTTTTTAGAAATCCTCGTTTATATACAAAAAAGGACACTCATACCTAAAATCTGAAAAAGACAATTTAGATTCCTAAAGTATCTAGAGAGCCTTGAAAATTTTAATATTCACATGTGATGCAGGACGATTCATCACAACCAACTCAACTCGTCATCTCTACACCAGCGATTCGTCTTCATGACAACTTAATTCCAGGACAGCAAATCACCAGCCTATTCAGCGCGAGGACAACACAACGCTGGTATTGAATTCCTACTTTCAGTCCGCTGTTAGCTGCCATTGCATAACTGGCCACTCGTATTCGAGGATACTTGTTTACCAGGGCGGCTAGCCAATCCCTATTGCAGATGTTTGCTCAGGCGTCTTATCCAATACGCACAGAGTCCACTTGTGGTTTATACTGTAACTATGCTGAGCAGACCTTAGATACAGTCTCTGGGAAAGAGCGTGTTATCTAGTGTGATCAACAATTTGAACAAGGCCAGCACGCTCAAGCCCTCGGCCACAATGTCTTGTGACTTTGTGCTAACGCAGCTATCGTCTGCCCAATTTCACTCACAAGGCTTTCCAAAGGTGTCGCACGCTGGAGTTGACACTTCCAGTCCGATAATATCAGAAAGACTCCTTACCGACAAATCGACCATGGTGAAATTCGAACCCGGGTCTCATGATCAGAATGCGAACATTCCAACTACTCGGCCACGTGCCCATGTTAGCTGATATCGACTTTAGTTGAGTTGTCACGGAGACGAGTTGGTCGCTGTTGATTCTGCGGTGTGGAAATGTTCCCTTCCGCTCTTAGGACATGCATAAGGCAAGAGTGAGAGAGGAAAGCACTGAATAACCTATGTAACGAGCATTTAAAAATGCTTGGCAGTGGAATGATTAGGAGAGATAACAAAAAGACAAACACTGTTAAGAGTAACAAAGGAAAGGAACTTATAGAGAGCCTTGATCGCTCACATCCTAACATGACGCGGTATATAGAAGATAATCATATTTATAATTACTACTGACATTTTTTTTTAAATCATTATAAATATACCATGCGATTAACAGTATAAATTATTAGAAAAATTAGTACCAATGTCTTTTTAATCATCTCACCCAAAGTAAGCTATAAATACACAACAATGTCCTAGGTTTCTGAGATTAAAAGAAATGGAAGGAGACAATCTAAGAGAATGATTCAAGAAAACAGAAGGTGATGATTTAAATTTATTATAAGTTTTTGAAACCGCTAGTGTACAGAAAATCAGTAAGCAGAGAGAGAAGGAGAGAGAAAGAGAGAGAGCGTGAGATTCACAAGTGAGAGCTGCGAGAGATAGAAGTATCAGCATAGAACTTACGGTTACAACTATCAATTTCAACTGGCAAATTATGAGATATTGCTGGCAATATCGTAATGCGCTTCTGTTCGAGAACTCGAGTTACCTACGCGGAGAGCTCATCGGAAGAATTACGCAGAAAATATTTACAGACGATTCAAACGGAGGCAACGTGACGGTGGTATGAAAACGACTAAAGCCTAAATCTAAACATTTTGGACGCTAGTTTATTCTATTTTTGGATATAATAACAGTTTAATTATACAAGTCTTACTTTTTAACCCATAGCTAGGACCCAAAACAGTGTAAGTTCAATACATGGTTAAGGCGATGGGGAACTTTGAGAGGGGAATTAACAGGAAGATAACTGAAATCCATTAGACACGGCACGTGGAACTAGAACAGTCTAAAGGGTTCAGTGACGCCAGGTGAGGACAGATAACCTTGCCGATACTTCTTTTCATTTTGTGAACAAGTTTTAGATACATAGCAGACGCATCAGACTTGTATTAATAATATTTGACAAATGGACGAAGAGTAAACTTATAAATATTCACGATAGATTCTGGCGATAAAAACGTGTCTACAGTAACTGTCTATATCTCTGAGATGAGATAGTATGTACACTATTTACATTAGTCGGACAATTGTTCTCATCTTTGTCGCCGTGTTTATCACAACGTTTCTGCCGTTGTATGCTCCGGCCTTCTTCAGTTGATTGGAATGTCGAACTACTAAACCCTTTATTTCGCTCACTGGGGTAGACTGATCTAGTTCCCCATGCCATGTCTAATGGATGTCAGTTATCTCCTGTTAATTCCCCTCTCAAAGTTCCCTATCGCCTTAACCGAGTATTGAACTCACACTCTTTTGGGTCCTGTCACTGGATCTAACTAACGCCTTTATCCACTGTGTCATGTGTCATTGAGGACGACATTTTTGGGGACTGTTACAGGTTTCTGGTGTTCTTGAAGCCTTATCTCAATGGTACGGCATGTCTACCCTTCACCGACATTCACCGGACAGTACCTCAATTTGTCTAGTATGACATAGCTAGCCAACATTCTTAGTCACAGATTAGCAACTGATTATATATAATTATTACACTTTATGAAATCTGAAAAATGAGATCGAGGAGTTGGGACTCCTGCATTTTGTTTATCGGTTGATTTTGTTTGGCGTCATATCGATATTTATGGGTTATTTGACACCGAAATCTAAACAATTTGGACGTTAGTTTATTCTGTTTTTGGACATAATAACGGTTTAATTATACAAGTCTTACTATTTCACCCATAGCTAGGGAAGAGAACCGGTGTATTCATAGATTTCCCGTGTTATCTGCGTGTAATTGAATATAAAGTACCAAACGAGAATCGACACTCGGCTCTGCGTTTAAAAATTCCGAGTTATAATTTCATTAAACCACACGTAAATCTAAGCTTACAGTGACTAGTATTCACAAGCGATCACCCATCTAGGTACTGACCAGGCTCGATATTGCTTAACTTCGGTGATCGTAATGAGACCGGTATTACGACGTGATGTGGCAGTAACCTTGTTTTCCTGGATGTTAGTCTCAGCCATACTGATGGAAGGAAAAAATATATTTAAGATGATTAACAGAGAGCCGTTTCTATTTGGAATTGTGAAATTTACCAAGTCATTACTTGCTCCAATTAACAGATTCCAAGTAATTTTTTATATAAGCTGCTAATTTGATTTTATCTAAACTATCAAACTTATGATTATTATGAAGACAAAGAAATAATGAATAATATCACCGTTTAGCCATATTTCTTTCTTACATTATTGGGTCGACATGGCGGAAGATTTGTCTGAGTATATCCCTGATTCTATGTCCCATTTTCCATCAGGACGTGAGCGAAGGGCTTTCTACATATACTGGCTACACTTCCTTTAAATAATTATCACTCACTTTCTCTTAATGTAGTTGAGCTGCATCATTTTATTCGACATTAATTTTATTTACTTTTTACCGACATTCCCTTGTTTTCAGTGCGTCCTGTAGATGTTTGTATCACTAAGGATCCTTTCATCATTTTTCATCTGTTTCTTTACTGTTAGTTGCATTTGTATTTATTTTTTATTCCCTTTTAAACTTACTTATTTCTCACATCTCTCGTCTATGTTATTCTGAGCTATTTACCCCCATTCCGTTGTTTTCAGAGTACACTGTACGTGTTTAAATCTCCAAGTCCTCTTTCCTCACATTCCACCTTTTTTTTTACCATTAGCATCATTGGATTTTCTTTCAAATCTCATTAAAACGTTCTACTTTCTGACATGCCTTGTCTATGTTATTCTCAGCTATTTACCGCCAGTCCTTTGTTTCCAATGTTTCATTATATTCCCTTAGTTTTCTTTACTGTTAAAATCACTTGTGTTTATTTCTATTCCTTTTAAAACTTCCCATTTTCTTACATGCCTCGTCTCAGCTATTTGCCCACAACCCCTTGTTTGCATTGTGTCCTGTAGAGGTTTAAATCTCCAAACAATCTTTCATTATATTTCACCAGTTTTCTTTACTGTTAAAAGCACTTGTACTTATATCTATTCCTCTTTAAACTTCCTAATTTCTCACATGCTTCGTCACATCTCTTCTCATTCAAGACTTTTCTACGTGTTTTATGAAACTGTGTGCATTCATTGCCATATAGAAAGTAGGTAATGCATAAAATTCTCTAAAATTTTCTGATACCTTAATAATTTAGGGTTATGGTGCGTGATTTTTTTTCCTCTTTCACCGTATGAATCCGAATCCCTCGCCGCCAAATAATTGTTGTGGAGTGATTTCACAGTGGAGGCTTGTATTTGTATAAGTCGGTCCTAAAATAGGTTCGACGTACAAAACGTTAGGAACTTGATATAATAGGTAATGACGCAGAGAAATCTAGTTGTGGTGGCTGATACTTTAGTATTCGACTAACTGTCGTCCGGCATCAACTGACTGACGATATTCAGTCACCCCCCCCCGTCACGAGGGCATAATGTGGCACAAGGCCGTTTTAACGTGGGATCTCTGAGCGCGTGGCCTCGGACAAAAATATGCCCATGAAACCCGTATAAACGGGTTCAGGGTCGGTTTACCTCCCCGAAAGAGAATCCGCCTTTCGGCGTAGCCTCTTTCGGGTCCCTCCCCGCCCGAAGGCAGAGAGTTCAACTGATCAGCCAGTCGACTGACTGACTATATTTAGTCACCCCCTCATGAGGGTATCATGTGGCACAAGGCCTGTTTAACGTGGGATCTCCGAGCCCGTGGATCGGCCTGTTTATAACGTGGGATCTCCCGAAAAAGCCCGTCCGATCGGTAGCCTCAAAAATTCATCCCCGCCTGAAGGCAGAGAGTTCAACCCAGCCGGTCGACCGACATCGACTGACTAATGATATTCAGTCAACCCTCCACGGGGCGTCGAATGTGGGCCTGCCCCGAATATGCCCATTGAACCCGTATAAACGGGTTCGGGGTCGTTTACTTCCCGAAAGAGAATTTCGGCGTAGCTTCTTTCGGGTTCCTCCCCGCCCGAAGGCAGAGAGTTCAACCGATCAGCCGGTCGACCGACATCGACTGACTGACCCACTGAGCGACTCCTACTACTCCTACTTATTATAGGTGGGAGAGTCTATTAACTATAGAATAGATGTGTTCCACTATAATATCTAGTCCTTTTCTTAATGGCCCCTTTTCGCTATTCGTATCGTCCTTCGCCATTTCTGCCTCGAACTTTCAATCATCTGTTACAATACAACACAGACCGTTAAATTTCTGCACCTGCTTGATATTGATGCTCCCAATTACGCAACACTTATTTAACTTCCTCTAATTTTATACTATCTTTTAAGAGTAAGTTTGATCGCTCCGATATGGTCAAATTGGCAGATGATCTTAAAAATGACCTACAATTTGCTGGTAACTGATGCAAGGAATGGCTTTCTCATTTTAACGTTTCTAAAACGAAACGTGTCTCTATTCGTCCTCTGACAGATCCCTTTCTTCCTTTCTTCAGAATAGCTGATGCTGACTGATTCTCCTTTCTCGGAATAATATCCTCTGCTGATATGAAGTGAAATTATTAAAATTGAATCAATTGCTACATATTTTGCTAGGTTTACAATACGTCCATGCTGTGTATATTGCTAACGCATACGTTCTTGTGCACGAGCTATATATTTAGGCATTCATATTATCAAAGGGTGAGTTCGCAAGTTCATTGATTTTGAGCTGTCATCTTGGCTTCAGTTACTTTCTCAGTGCCGTAACGTAGCTTCCCTGTGTCTTTTCTATAAATATTTCCTAGTAATTGATCGGATGAACTTTGCTCTATGGTACCTTGACTTTATTATTTTAAGCGTAGTACTAGATTTGCAAAAAAATCTCATCACATTACAGTTGACCTGGCTAGAAACACCCGTATGTTTTATGTTAACATTCTCTTCTCTCGCACTTCTCACTTGTGGAACATTCTTCCGGATTCTTGCTTTCCAGTTAATTTTGACGTTTAGAACTGTAAATGAAATATCTATCGTTATATATTAATTCGACTTTTTTTATAGTTCTCGCTGCTTAATAAGGTTTCTCTTTTTCTCATTTTTTCACACGGTAATTGCTTGCATCTTAGTAGCTTTATTGCCTTGCTTGGGATAAAATAAATGAAAAAATATACAAGTACACATGAAATTGCGCGGAACGTAATATAATGAACCCAAACAGAGTTAGAACCCCGTCCTTTTGATTAACAATTCCGAGCCTTATTTAATACATCACACGCACATCCAAGCTCATAGCAAAGGAAGGAGAGTTCGGAAAATCTGATACTCACGGAACAGATCGAGAAAAACAGAGACAGAGAAAAGCAACGTTTAACATACTTGATGAGTTTGAGCAAATGGATGACAGAACAGGCTTTGGGAGAAATAACAAAAAGACAAAACTTATTTAAAGCTACAAGGGACAGGAAGATGTGAAGAGATATAATCGGCTATGCCCTGAAGGAACACGGCACATTAAATGAAGAGGTGGGTGTGAGCTATTGTGTAAAAATCATATTCCTGACTAAATATTCACAGATTTTCTTCCATCGTGAGGAGGTTTCCATCGGAAATTCTCCTACAGAATGTAGTGAAGGTGAAAGAGAATGGATTAAGCAGGAAGTTTAAGAAGACAGAATTCATGGTCACCAGTAAAAAGATGTGCGCAAAATTCAATTTACAGGTCAGCAATACTGAAACTAAGCAGGCACAGAAATTTAAATATATGGCAATTGTTCTAAGAGAGGACGGAAAGTGCGATATTGAGATCCGAAGTCGTATTGGGAGGGTCAAAGACGCATTCCAAAGTCTAAGGAGATTATTACGAGACTGAAAAGTTTCGTTGAAAAGAGTACTGAACTGCTACGTGATATATGTCCTCCGCTAAGTCAGCGAATGCTGGAAAATCTCTTCAGAAATGAAAAAACTCGGAGAAACAGAAATGTGGTTCTACAAAAGGATTTTAAGGATACCATGGGGCGAACATGTGAGCAACGATGAGGTTTTTTGCAGAGAATCGAAACAAAGAGGAAACATATACTTAACACCAGGAAGAGGCAGCAGAAATTTCTTGGACGCATAATGAGAAAGGACGGCTTGGAAATTATGATACGAACAGGACAGATAGAGCAAAAGGTGCATATGGGAAAGCAAAGCGTGATATAATGGGCTTGAGCAAGTGGATGATGGATCAGAGTCTGGGAAGAAAAACCCAAAAGGACAAAATTTATTAAGAGCTACAAGCGACATGAGAAGACTACGAGGAAGAAGAAGAAGAGGATTATGATAGCCTACGTCCTGAAAGGATATGGCAATAAAAGAAGAGGTGTGAGTGTTGAATATTCTCTTCTTGGTCAACCATCAACACTTACTTTGGATTCACTTCTTGGTCGGACCGAGAATTTTAACTACCTCCCGCTAGTATTTGAATTTTTTAAAAACATTTTATCTAAGAAAGCCATAAAAACACAAGTGATTGCTAAGAGTGAGGAGATCTGAGAAATCAGTCTTTCTCTTTTATGTACCATGTTCTTTCAGGACGTAATCGATTATGGTCATCCACATCTTCCTGTCCCTTGTAACTCTTGTCTTTGTCTTCTGCCATCCAATGGCTCAATCCCGCCAAGTATATTACGCCCATTGCTTTCTTCTGTCCATCTTTGAGGACCAGATTTTCCACGTTCTCCTTCCTCATTACGTAATCCAGAAAGTTTCCTTTAGGTTTCCATTCTCTCCGAAACCTTGTTGTTGCTCACATGTTCGAAACATAGTATCCTCAGCATATTTCTGTAGAGACATATTTATGTTGCTTCAAATCTCTTCTTCATCTTAGACGAGATTCTGCAACATTAATATAAGAGAAGATAACGATTGACGTTCCATATAAATTTTTAATGATCGTCATTGTAGCTGGAAGAAAATTCGCAGTCGAGACGTAAAAGAGAAAAAAAAACAAACTATATATTAAAGAGTAAAACGATGACATCTGCATTCATGGAC